TTTTTTTTTTTTTTTTGCAGACATAAGTTAAAATGATATCTTTTGATAAGGTTTCACAGCTGTTCCAATGTTTTGTCAAAATCCATTTGTTTGTTTTTATGAAAATGTAGTAAAAAAAAAAAGAGAGAAAAGATCCATAATTTTCCTGAAGGTCCATCGTTTTATAATCCACTTGACAAAGCCACACAAGCTCTTGTGTGATGTGTTTTATAGTTCTCCATCATTTTAAGTAATTGGAAAGGAATACTTTGAGATTATTTCCCTTATTTTAGCTACATGATTTATTGCTGCTGCTGCATTTAATACATGTGCATTATGCAAAATACATTAACACTGTAAAGATTTATTGTTTTTTTGACCATTCAATAGATGAAGCTCAAAATCAGTTGGAAACCAGACTTAATCCATTCTTTGACACCAATGCTGGATTTATCAATATTTATTGCATTAGGCCTATTTGTATCTGATAGATTTGACCATAGCTTATTCTCTGGCATGACCGTGGTGTTGATATTTTTTCAGTCAGCTTTTTGCTGACTAAGAAGAGTCTACACAGCATTGGTAAGTCAGTATGGGAGGTGTGTGTGAGGGGGTTTGGGAGGTGAACTTAATTGTGCAAAATTATTGGCAAGGAGGAGAAGCAGCTGGGCCTTGTCTGCATAAGGTAATAAATAGTCATTCATGTTTTGAAAATGAGTTAAACTGCAACTAATCTGACATTCGACAAAAATGGTGATCTGTATTCTGTAATGGCTGCCATATTGTTAATACATCAGCATGAACAAGATGTTTGTGTTCTGTTTCAAATTAACATTTATCTCAGCCAAATGCCATTTCAGCCTTTTATTTTTAGCCAAATCCACATCAAGTGAACAATCTCATCATGATTCACTGATTTACTTTTTATGCAGTGAAGTGCCTTTTGTATAAAAGAGGACAAAATTACTTGATTTCACAATAAAAGCTCATAGTGATTCCTCAAGGGTGACTGTGCATTATTGCAGTTGTTTCACACCTGGAGCCCCAGTGCTTTCATTGTCTTTGCATTAATTCCATATTCTATTTTCTACATCAATGCAAACTGATCAAAGAATGGACAGGTGTTGCATCTACCACTATGATAGCATTTGTAATCTTGTCGGTTCAGCATAAATGCAAACCAAAGGGTGGAAATGTATGGAGTAGCTAAATTGTAAAGTTGACAGCTGTCTCCACATTGCATTATCTTTAATATTGCCTTATTCAACAATGTGTACACTGCAAGTCAGAATGAGATAGTGGATAGTTTTTTTTCAATAATAATTTGCGCAACCCTATAAAAAGTTTTTCATATAACAGAATGAGATTTTCTTTAATAGTTACTTTACAAAAACGTATGCATGTATATTTTATAATTCTATATATTTCCTGGGAGTCAAACCCATGACCTTAGTGACCTATAGCACCAAGAATGAAGTGGTATTTTGAATATTGGTGTATTGGTATTTTTCAATGGCATTTGGATTTACTTACAATTGCTTTGAGCAAAATTCTCCCACTCAGCAAAAGCAGAACTCGTCTGCATTTTTTGAGTTTCCAGCTAAGCATGCATTGTTAACTTTACTTACAAAAATGCATATGTGGGTCAGATATACCCAGTAAAAGGGATAGCCTATTGTTATGCAACACATATTTTGTCAAAGAAAATCATTTTTATTATAATTTACATCGTGTAGCCTATGTGTGTGCATGCACTTGTGTGTTTGTATATCTGACACCAAGTAGACAGTTACAGTATCTGATCAAAAGACCAGCTAATTTAGGGTTAACAGGCTGATGCAGCTTCTAACTTACCACTTACTCAGATAGGCCTAGTGCTATGACCAGTACAAGCTGCTAACATTTAATCATTTGATTTTAATGTTATAAACAAATAAAGGAAAATTAAGATTGTTGTTTAAATCTTTAGGCCAATATTTATCCTAAAAACTAGAGATGGGCAGATGAAGCCTTGTGAAGCTTTTGAGGCCTTTTCCTGATTGTACCAAAAAAAACATTCAACGCTTCAAAGCCTCAAAGACAGACCCTACCAGTGACATCTAGTGGTTAGTTGCGATTATAGCAGCCACTTTCAAATTCGAACACACCTATGTTTCCCTAACTAATACATTGTCCGTGTAGGAAGGACACTAGGGTTTGACACAGCCGTTGTCTGGTTAACATAGGCGATACTTGAACTCGCTCTTAAAGGGAAAGTTAGTTTACCCCAAAATAATTGCGCATATTTAACATAATTTTTTTTTTCTCCTTTCCACTAAAAACAGCGAATATGCTCTTTAATGAATAGTACGTGCAGTGCTCATGTTTATTCAACGAAGTCAAAGCCTTTTGGAAAATCTGTTTGTGGCTGTGAGTTTTGATATTGTGGCGGGCCGCCTCAAATAAGTCAATGTATGGGAAACACAAATATTAAAATGAAACTTACCTGCTTGAACTCTTTCATTTGATCTGGGGGGTGTTTTATATGAATGTATCTCTGAAGGGAAAGGACTGTCTTCAGAAATGTTTCGATGACATTTTCATCTGATAAAGTAGCATTCATGAGGGGAGCTGCTTTGATTACAGCAGTTACTGGGGAAACCGCTACTGTCTGTGGTTTTATCACTCTAAAAGTGCCTCCTGCTGGCAGAGAATGAATTTACTCGGAGCACTTTTCATACCCTTTTTTCTGGCTGAAGCACATTTGTTTCAATCTATAAGAATAATCAACCTACACTACCAGTCAAAAGTTTTTGAACGGTACGATTTTTAATGTTTTTTTTTTTTTTTTAAAGAATTATTTTCTGCTCATCAAGCCTGTATTTATTTGATCCAAAGTACAGCAAAAACAGTAAAATTTTGAATGATTTTTTACTATTTAAAATTTTAATTATTTTAAATCTACAGAAATCATTCTAATATGCTGATTTGCTGATTATCAATATTTAAAACCGTTGAGAATATTTTTTTTTTCCAGGATTCTTTGATGAATAGAAAATCCAAAGATGAGCATTTATCTGAAATAAAAAGCTTTTATAACATTATACACTATTCTATTCAAAAGCTTGGAGTCAGTATAATTTTTTTGTGTGGAAATTATAGAAAATGTTACTGTTTTTGCTGTATTTTGGATCAAATAAATGCAGGCCTGGTGAGCAGAAGAGGCTACTTTAAAACACATTCCAAATCTTACTGTTCAAAAACCTTTGACTGGTAGTGTATGTCAGCCTATAGTTTGATATAAGGTAAACATTAATTTATTTGTGCTGTTTTTTTTCTTTTCTTAAATATTATATAGTTTATAATAGTATATAGGAGGAGGTTTCATAGACTTGGAAAATTCTCAGAAGTTTTTAGGTACAGACATCTGTTGTGGGCGTTCTTGGCAGTTTTTATGAGGCTTTTTTTTTTAATAGTGTTCATATCGATATCGGAATTATATTGCATCGACCGAAATTAAGAAATATATCGTGATATAAATTTAATTATTATTTGTATAGGCTGGCAGACATTCAAAAGATAATTTTCTCTACTGGAACTCACATGGTTCAAGTACATGGGCTGTATGATCCTTAGTATTTTTAGAGCTAGATATTTGGATGAAAGGACCTTTAGGTTTATTTTCAAGCACAGAATATCATACCTCTACAAACATAGCATCACTGCAATACACTGGAAACATGAAGTTGCG